TGTATCAATATTTTATTAGAACTATGATGCTTTATGCTTACAGATAAAACATACAGGGTGAATTTGATAATGTACCCTGCAACACTCCAGAAGTACTTCAGGAATGGTTTAAAGAATGCAAAAAAGAGCTCAAGGTGATGCACGGAGTTCCCAATTCCTAAACTTTCACTTTAATAAAGCTCTCGAATCATGTGCTAGAAAACCATGTGCAATCCATACGGACCCTGACTATCGTCTTACAAGGCTTCAAGTATGAGCTGCTGATAAAGGATTCAGAGTCCATGCATGAGCAAGTCAGAGCTCTGATGGCTGCAGAGCACTGGCTTTCCCTTGCTGTTATTATAGATGCTTGTTGCTGTCCCTGCTCTCTGTATTAGGTTTAAATAACATTAAGGTGGGACACGAGTAGCGTGGTTTATAGGTATATAACAAAGTGACTAGTAAACTATACTATACTGTGCTACACTTTATGGAAATTTGTATTGGTTGAAAACTTACTGCCTTTATAAACTTATTGTAATACACTAGCTTGTACAAGGTTCATATTTGTGGCCTCAGAGATGAGAAGAATTTAAAACTATGCATTAAGGATAAAAAGGTAAGAGCTTGAAAGACACTCTTGGTAAATCTCTTATCCCTCTATATGCCTTTATAAAATTGAATTTATATCCTGAGAAGAAGTGTACAGCTGAACCTGCTGCTGCAAAGCAAAATGATGATGATGTGTGTGTGTGAGACAAGAATGAAGGATGGGAAGTTTTATGATGTCTCATCTCAGCCAGGGGGCAAATATAATGAGAGCACCAAGGATCATCATTCACTTTGTCACTAAGTAGAAACGGAAGGCTGCCAAAGAGCCTAAAAGTAGGCGAGGCAGATGGGTGCTACCATCCCCTCTCCCTGACCCGTTCAAAAAATGAATGCACAAGTTAAAAAAAAAGAAAAAAAGAAGGCGCATACAAAACAAGCTGTGATCAAAAGATGCTGAGAACTTCTAAAATACTAGCAACCACCAGTGCTATCCCATAGCCTCGTCCTACAGTAGTAGATACACCTATGGTATCAATATGAAGCTCCTACGTCGTCTCGTTCTCGAGGTATCACTTTCACAAACTTAGCTGTGCGCGCCCGCTCGCTTACCTGGCAGGGTGACAACATTACACCATCAGCCTTTTACGGCTTAGGGGTAAAGATCAAAAACCCCTGACCAGATTTAAATGTGCCCAGTGTGACACTTTAGGTTGTTTTCTCATGGACTGTTTTCAGTATGCCTGCCGTGCCATCACTGTGTTGTTAACTCCCCTCGACATGAGTTTCTGTGATACCAGCTGAATTTCTCCCAGAGATTCTGTCTTGCTTCCCTCAAAAGCAAAGCAGAATACATCTGCATGAATGACATAGGAGGCAAAGATGAAGATGCAGGAAAGAAAGATAGCGAAGATAGAGGAGTCTGAATATCTTAGATCAATCAATCAAAAACAACAGAGTGCACAAGAGAGGTGACGAAGAAAGTAAAGGGCCACAGTGAAGAATCATGGATGTAGAGAGAGAGGAGGTACAGAGGGGGATGCTAGGGATGGAGTGAAAGAGCATCTCACCTGACAGAGTTAGCCTTTCTTCCCTCCACTTTCATGAAGACTTTGACATGATCAAACCGAGCTTGCACATACATCTTCAACCTGAAAAACAAACTCACGTTAACACCAAGAACTAAACATATGGCCACAGTGACTAGCTTTAAGGTAGTGACGAAAAGGGTCAAAACACAAAGAGCTCATTGACTGAGTGTGGCACAGCAGTGATCCAAATGTACACTGGTATACTAACTGACATATGTATAGGCTCCCACTGAGGTTCCTATGCAAATTAAATCACTGTATGTACTGCCAACCACAGCACCTGAGCCTGCTGCGAACAGCTAGCCAATGGAACATGCAGAGTTGAAACCTCACTGGCTTGAAACTAGAAAGAGCCTGTGTATAAAAGATTGGCAAAGACTATGTCACGTCTCTATTTAAAGAGCTGTACACCTCTACACAATGCTCTTGATGTGGATTTTGCAGTAAGGCACTGATCGCTGTTATCAGTATAAAGGTTAGGTCAGAGGAGTCAAATCACTGCTCTGTAAGAGGTTCAGATAAGAAATAGTGCAATCTAAGAAGCTGCCCTGTTCAAAGGCTACTGTTCAGGATGGGAGAAACAAGAGCCTGGGAAATGGAAAAAAAAGAGCAAATGCATGTCAACGTGCGGAGACCCCGACCACATCCTGTGTTACTGAACTGTACTGAGCTGATCGATAGCAAAGATCAGAACAGAAGATTACCTCTTGAAAAACAGCTTCTGTGTGCACGGAGATAAATTCAACTTATTAAAAGCTGCCAATCTATCCACTCTGAGAAACATGAGCATAGCTGTGACAAAGCACAGTAGCAGAAATCACCAGAGTGTTACAGGCAACCCACCTCATTCACATTCTACAGATCATTTTAATTAGACAGTAATATTTATGAAACTTCCTGTGGAACGGTGAACTGTAGCTATCAAAATCTTTTATTGAACATGAGCCTCCCAAGGCTTTCAGTTTTATTAAGGTTATGAGGGTTTACTACTAGAACTGAACCCTGACTACACAAAAATGTAAAGCTTATATTAACTTTGTCATCAGCAGGTTAAATTTGCTATTTAAAACACAGTGTGTCTAAGGTTTTCTAAAATTTGAAGAAAGTCATTTTACCACCAGGCTGTCACTGTTGTCAGATGGGTGGAATGGCCCCAACGTTGTTGAGGAGTAAAACATGAACCTCAATTGCACATCAAAATGAAGACAGCAAGAGAGGCACATTCTGCTGCAGTCGGTCTAAATTAGAAACTACTGTTCACATCCGGATTGCTGAGCTGACTGAAGTAGCAGGCTCGTGTACCTGGGTGATGTCGGTGGTGACCACCGGTTCCCTTTTCATAAGCAGTCTAAAAGGAAATCGATATTCACTCATTACCCAAAGATGTTTAGACTCCATGTGGGACAAAACCTGTAAGCACACCATTTGGTTTTAGTCATCCTCATTTTAGCTCATTGCTAGGATCATTTTTGAGCTCCTTTAGTCAACTTTTAGAAGCTGTCTATGTCCACCAAAACTACAGCCCATTTCTTGTCTTTTTTTCTGATCATCAGGACATTTTTAAAAGACTAATATCATTTCCTTTGTTTTCTTTCACCTGGAAATCACAAACAAAAACAGTAATGTGTGTGTATGTGGGTGTTTTTTAAAACAGTTAATATAAAGGCCCAGAAATAGCAACTTTGTAATGATAGCTCTGCACTGCAACCAGTTGATATCATCCACCCAGGGTCCATTGTACAAAAAAAGTAATGATAGTTTTTGTAGATCAAAATAAGCATTAAGTATTGTCAGAGTTCAAAAAATAATGAAAATAGTGAAAGCAGTTTTAAAAGCAGGATTTATAGCAGGAGAGCTTTTACAGCGTATTAAGACCCACAAGTCAAAACCATGGTTCTATTTGAACACAAGACTCTATTGTGCTGATCTGCTGTAGCTGATTCAGACGCTTAATGTGACAGTTTACGAGACAATTTTGGGCAATGCAAAAATCTTGTATACAATGCATTACAATTTTGAAGCAGGTCAAATTGGATACTTGACATCAAACCATTAAGAATGAATGCTACCATCCACATTTCAACTATAATTACTGTGAATGATTCATTTGGCTTCCTTTTCTCCGCTCTCTTTCTCAACTAGAAGAATCTACGAACAAAACACTACTTCAAACTCGCTGCCAACAATAAAAAGTGCTCATTAAAACTTTTCAAGAGAAAACAAAGGGCTGAGCAGCAGTCATTATCCCCGAACTTAGAGGTCTTTCAAGCCATACATCAAAGAGGTGTTAACTTCTAGGTCTATTATCACATTGTTAAGTTTTCTATTTTTATTCATGGGTTTAAAAAAATAACTAAACAAATCGGTGTGAGCTGAATTTCTATTGCTGAATGAAACAGATTAGTTTTAAGTAAAGCTGGAATTTTAGCAGATTTATAAAAATCAATAACGCTAAACACAAGGGATCACATACCTGAAATTACTCCCAAGATCACAGAAATAGTTTTCACTTTGACGGCAAGTCACTAGTACTATTCCCAAATGAATCAATGCACAGTTGCTGCTTGTCCACACTGCCACAAAGCAAGGACAAAGTTTTATCTAGGAGCACATTCCAAAGCAAGGAAAGGTACTAACAGCTCACGGGAACTAGATTACTCGAATAATTGTCTACTAGGCCGGGCCATTGTAATTCAGTACTGTCAAAGTTGTCCCTTGACAACTGACAGGGAGTACTGACAGGGTCCAGACAGAGAGAGCATATTTCTCCCACACTGGCTTCTCTTAATTGCTCCCCATTAAATCCAGAATCAAATTTAAAATCCTTCTCCTCACATACAAGGTCCTGAACTTATATGGATTGGATTTATATAGCGCTTGTGGGTATTTAAAAGTAGAACAGAAGAGGCACAGCCTGCAGCCTTCATGCACCTCTTCTGTGGAACCAGCTCCCAGTTTGGCTTTGGGAGATAGACACCCTCTCTACGTTATTCATCTCTGGCTCTCCTGCACAGCGTGTATTTGTCCTGTCTTTCTCCCCCATTAGTCCAAACTGGTTGTGACAGATGGCTGCCCCCCCTCCCTAAGCCTGGTTCTGCTAGACGTTTGTTCCTGTTAAAACAGTTTTTCCTTCCCACTGGCACCAAGTGCTTGCTCAAAGGGTCTGATTGCTGTGGATTTCTCTATATTATTGTAGGGTCTTTACCTTGTTGTAAGGTAAACAAGCCTTGGCTGTAAGGTGTGATTGTTGTTGCTATATAAATAAAACTGAATTTAATTATCCTACAGTTTTAAATGTGTACACAATAAGTACACATGAACATGGTGGTTTTCCTGTTGTAATGATGAAACTTTAATTACAGACAAATTTCTGTGTGGCTATGTTAGTGTCTCAACCTTCACTTAGAAGTGGTTTCTTTTTACAGACTCAGTTTCTTGAAGAAATGTTTAGAGCTTTTACATCATTTTTCAAATAAATATCTCAGCTTCTAAAAACAAACTGAACCAAAAAACGAAAAGAAAAAAAAACACATGTTCTGATTTCAAATGTGAGGGGGGGGAAAGCTCACTTCTGACGTGTGACAGGGTCCGACTCTGTAGGGTGAATATAAGCAGTCAAGATCTGCTTCAAGGTTTGTTTGTCAGACACCCTGCAACAAAAATAGGCATCGTTAATAGAGAGGCAAATGCAAGAGAAAATAAAGGATCAATAATGGTCCCAACTTCAATTCAATATCAACACACTTTGGTTTCAGGGCACACTTAAACGCTAAAGGTTTAGAAGAAACTTTTGTGATACACTATTCAAGAAATGTAATTATTACTTGATTACTCACCTCCTCTGAGTGAACTCTGAACTGCTCTGAGGAAATATGAGCTTCAGGTGCCACAGAAACAGTTTTTCTCTAGAAGAGACAGAAATGCACATTTTTATTTGCAGCTCATGAAAAACAGTGTTTTCATATAAGGTTATTGTTATTCTCACTGTACTCAATTCACAGTCAAACACAAATGCCCTTGTTTCATTTCAGAGCACAACATGGACATGGCTCTAATCTGTCCAAGACAATACATCTGGCTGCTTCCAAGATCCTGTCCATCTGTGTGACTGCGTGCAAATGAAAAAAAAACAAAAAAAAGAAGAAAAAAAACATAGTCACCATGGAAACCGTGACATATACACTCAATACTAGGACACCAGCTGGCCAATATCGCATAATAATCACTTCTTCTGGGGTAATGCTTTGGGCAGTAACTGTGAAATGTGGTCGGGTTTTCTGGGTTGCTGGGTGTGCTCTACAACCAAACAATCATTCCCTAAGCAGCTGCAGTATTCTACTACTGCCGTCAGATAAAGCCAACAAAACGTAATACATCAAACCGTTTGGGAGATAAGAATAACATGATGTATGATGATCTATTCCTTAGTAATCTCTTACTGAATCTTTTGGTGGATTCACAACACTTAATATTCCACATAGCTATTTCGTCAAACTATAGCAGACCATACACCAAGTGATCATCATAAAATAAATATAATGCTGCAGAGGAAGAAAGGACTAGAATAAAACCTAATGGCACAAGCAGCAGCATGTGTTCTCTCCAGAGTCATGCCACAGAATAGTGAGTGCTAAACCTAACTACAAGGACTTGTGTTAACCAAGACCACAGAGTTTGCCATGAGTAGGGTGGAGCTGAATCATCAAACACTTCTACAGCAAAGCAGAGGACTAAAGCCTTAACAGATCTTAAGAGTGAAGATGAAACATTACCCTCAAAAAGTCCCAAAGCATAAATGTAAGGAGAGCAAAGGAGACCTTGTTATTAGGGCTTTGCTACTCACCAAGATTGACTTGGAGCACATCATGGAGGTTTGTTTTTGTTACGAGCACCATCAGTGCACCAGCACATGCATCAACCCCCTATTGTCTGCCATTCTCATCAACCTGCTCTTTCCTCTGATGTATTCCCACCTGAGTGGCTGCACAAGGCTCACTCGCAACCGTATAAAGCCAGTGAAGCTATAGCATGGAGGTTGGTAAGTGGTGCCTTGATCCCTCTTATTTCCTCCCTCATCTCCATCACCAACAGCATCGTCCCTCTGCTGGTTTTACAGTTTCTGTTTATTAATAACAAGTTGAGGTGGGAGTTACTAGCAGCCCTATACAAGTAACTCTAATACTTTAGCCTACTGATATTAGCTTAGCGGAGAAGCAAGAATCTGACGGTTTGTAGTCTTATTCCTGTTATTGTTTCTTTTTGCTGGGGCTCCCATCGCCCTTATTTGTATTGTTTGTTGTTGTTGTTGTTGTTGTTGTTGTTATTTGTAACTAGCTATATTTTCAATATTGTAGGATTTTATATGTTAGGTTAATTTGAGCCATAGATGTAGGCACATTAACCGTTTTAATCACCAAACTGCTGGGCTTAGGGGTTGCTCTTGGATGGCAGTGATGACAGGAGCTATTGACAGTGGTTTAAGAGAGGGTTATCTACAAAGCTTATCACTGCTCAGGGATAAATAAAGGCCATCTTACTGCATACTGTCATGTTATGACCTTTTGGCCAGATTGTCCACTCAATTTCAGAACAACGAAAGCTCAGTTTTAAAGCCAAGCCAGAGAGATTAAACCATCTAGAAAAAAAGCCAGCATAACAGTGTACTGTCAGTGTAGATGATGGAAGTCATCCAGGTAAACTTATGAAACATCTGCTGACATCTGGTTGAATTCATTGTGTACATCCACAAAAAGCAGTAAACCTCAGCAGCAGCCCAGATGATCACCAGCCTGTACACTAAGAAAATCTACTGAGCCATTACATTATTAATTAAAGAAGTTGATACAGTACTTCAACTTTTACTGGAGTATTTTTTAACAGTAGTATCTGTACTTCTACTCAAGTACAGAATGTCTCTACTTTTGTCACCTTTGTACAAAATAGAATGAATAATGCATCATCTGTGCTCTACTGGGAACAAAGTGTCCAAATATGAGAGCTTCAGCTCACAATGGGTTCACAGCTGAGCAGTTCACTTGCTGAAGACGCATAGGTGAGTGACAGATAGAACAGGAGAATATTGTGATTGTAGACTAAACTCTCCATAGGTAAATGAAATGATGTCCTGTGAACAGGATAAATATTTAAATGAAAGTAAAGCCGAACTTGAGCTAGTCTGTCAGTTAAACCCAGAACAGAATAAATCAGCAGTTTAAATTTGTATTTTCAGAGGTAGGAATGAGGAAAATACAAGTTCACTACATTTTATTTGACCATACTTCAATAGTAACAATGCTACTAGCCTAACAACAAAGTTTTAGTCAAATAAATAAATTAGTAGAAAATTAGTAAATATTTAAATAAACGGTATATTTGGATAAATGTCCAAACCACTGACATGTCCTGCTAACTAAAAATCCAGGCAGTGTTCTGTTGTCGGGTCCACATGGTAGCATTATACCATAGATGGCTTTTTTCTCCCCAATGCAAACAGAAACAGGATAAGGAAAAAACAAAAAGAGCAAATGTGTGTATTTATATGGGCGCACAACACTGAGTAAAAGGTTGGCATAAATTTTCGCTTGGTTGTAAGGTGTGAGGCAAAGTGAAGGCCCCAGCAGACAGGAAGACAATGGACTGGGCGGTGATTTCCTACTTTGGAAGGCATCTAAGAAATCCACCCAATTTTTCAAAGAAATTTATGTGTTTGCTTAGTTTGGGCCAAGTTTCTTGTTTAGTGCGTCAGACTGACTTGCACAAGTGTCTGTGTGTTTCCATGTGTAAGCAAATGAGGGTGGAGCACCAGGTGTGATGCCATTACTCTGTCATTATGGCAAATGGAAATCATGTCTTTCAATGGAAAAGAGGCTTGCCCAAATATGCAGGCAATTGGGTCAGGCCAGGCCAAAATGCATACCTGGGAAAGGTGCCATCATTATTAATCACACACACACAAAACGAAAACTGGAAAGAGCTGCATATAAAAGTCAAAATCAATCACGCTACCTAGACCTTTAACAGTTTGTACTGATAGCACTGGAACAAGACTTTGAGTTTTTAACATGATCCAACAAAGCCTATGATCTAATCTGGGAGTAAAACAGCAAACTCACAATTCAGATTCAACTTACTTTATTCTCACTCTGAAAACTCACCGTCTTGGCAAAAAGTGTCTTTTAAAAAAAAAAACTGATATGATATTCAACAGTCAAGTAGCAAAGACGGATATTGCAGTACAATAGCAGATGTTTCCCTCACTAAGCTACACAACAAAAATATGGAGGGGAGAGGGAAAAAAAAGAAGAAAGAATCAAACCCCGATGGCCATTCAACAGAAAGCACCAGTTGACAAGACAGAGAGCTACAACACTTTAGGCGAGCAAATAATTGGAGGATTTTTTTTCCTTTGCTCACATTAATTTTTGTGAACAGACAGTCACTCCAACTAATCACCGAATTGAAGCTTTGCCTTGAAGAATACCATAAATACATAATGTGTGTGGAAAGGCTGAGTGATATGGCCTAAAATCCATATCGCGGTATAATTTGAAGCACGTGCGGTAATGATATATATCGCAATATATTATTTTCTTCTGTATAAGTATTTTCCACACTATAAGGCACACCTAAAATCCTTTAATTTTCTCAAAAATCGAGAGTGTGCCTTATGTATGAATTCTGGTTGTGCTTACTGACCTCGAACCGATTTTGGCGTGCAGAAATCTGTTAAAAAATGTTTTAGTACAACTTTGGTAAGCCGCACTGCTTGATGGATTGTCAGAGCATTACGGCTGCCGTAGTGAGGAGCTTCACGGAGTAATCTGGGTCCAAAACTCTGTCCACTTCAGGTCCCAAAGTCAAACAAACACTGAAAGTTAAAAACAGCCTAAATTCTTTAATCTTTAATAAAATTATCAGAGTTGCTGCTTTACCAGGTGTAACAATTAAGTTTAACATCCAGGCATCCACGAAAACAGAATTTATTAAATTTAACGAAGTTACAAGTTAACAGGAAGTTAGCTCGCTAGTTTCCACCTAAACATGACATACCATGTTCTGACTGAGATTTTTGAAACTAATTAAAACGTACAGCTCTGCTACCACTTCCAACATAAATGAAGGCAGAAAACTAAACAGCAGTGGCGTTTGCAGGGTTACTGAAGTTGGACTACCTGGTATATAATGTTGTGCTACGTGATTGCTAGCGACACAGCTATGTTAGCATAACATTAGCACAGTGAAGCTGGAGGATGAACGCCAACTTTTTTTCCACTTGATAAAAGTTAACGTGAGGGTTTCTGGTGGTCAGGGACAAATGCAATCGCATAGCAGGACGCTATACACGGGCCAAACTTCAGTCAGGAGAACAACTGAGATCATTCATCCACACTACAAGGTTAGTCATTAATATACTGCAACAACATGGGAATAGAGCAGCTGCGAGAGAATTCAACATTAATGAATCAATGTTATGGAAGTGGAGGAAGAGCAGTTTTTGGCTTTCCCCATATTTCAAAAGTGCTTCATCTCTTTGCTATGACTGTCGCCCGGCATAATTTGCAGATGATAATGGTTGTTACCGCTGCGATGCTTTCAACCAAAACAGGCGCAGCTTGGTGACATCTCCAACATTCGCTATCGCGATAGAGCAGTATAGTCAAAATCTCTATCGTTGGCCAAATTTAGATCGTTTCTATCGTATATCGTTTATATCGCCCACCCCTAGTGTGTGGTGTGTATATAATAATGTGTGGCCTTATAATCACTCTGGGGTTAGTTTGATTCTGTGTTTTTATCTTTCACTTACTTTTTAAACTTGTTTTTATATGAAAACCCACTAAGCAGCATATCAAATGAAACAGACAATCCAATAATCAGGTCCACTTTATGCATTAACTGGTGAGGT